GGGGGGGGGTGAGTACATGTTGAGGAAGAGAAGTCTAGTGTTGCACCGTGCACGCATATGCTTCATTTTTTTTTGGTTGGTTGCACGGAGGAGAGCGCGTGCTTGAAAGAAAAAACACGGCGTTGCCGGGGGGGCCGGGGGGGGGTGAGTACATGTTGAGGAAGAGAAGTCTAGTGTTGCACCGTGCACGCATGTGCCTCGTGTTTCTTTTGGTTGGTTGAACGGAGAGAGGGCGCGTGCTTGAAAAAAAAAAACGACGTCGACTGGAGTTGGCGTGTTGAGTCGAAGTTCCACAGAGGGTGGGGAAGGAGGTGGAACGGCCAAGGGGCAGCCATAGAAAGGAAATAAAACCACTTGCAGTACTCCCGAATTATATCGTGCATCGAGCAACCAGCCCCGCACGAAACATATGCAAAGACCAGACGTCATCTCAGCTGTCCAACAAACACAGAAGCACTCGGTGGAATAGGAACTAAACCACCTTTGGGGATCTTTGGTGTGGTGACAATTCTCACACTGCCTAGCCCTCGTGCGGAAACCTCCTTCTTAACCTAATGACCAGGTAGTACAAGTCCTCTCCTGATTGGAAGAAATACTACATCCCCATCTGCAACTTCCCCCTTTGCAAGCCGTAANCCTTAATCTAATGACCAGGTAGTACAAGTCCTCTCCTGATTGGAAGAAATATTACATCCCCATCTGCAACTTCCCCCTTTGCAAGCCGTAACCTTTCGGCACAAACAAGTTTCCTGTCTACCATAAGTGCGATTGGACCAACATATTTTCCCTGACAAACCGCTGAGGCTTACACCTTGAGGTACTCTCCCAGCGTGGGAGGCTCTACTCCAAAGTACTGTGAAATCTGGTTGCCGCCGTTCAGGCAGGAGTGGAAGTTTGACAACAGTGTTGCTACCTTGTACTGCGTCGCTACAGGGCTCAGCAGGAAGTTCTGCTGGCACTTCATGTCAACGAAGGCCCACTTGCTAGTCATCTCCTTGAACCCCCATTCGACCGTCACTCGGCATTGGCTCATGCTCTTGTTAAAGTTTCTCATCGCGGGCGTAAGGGGGCCATTGACAGATGCACTAAAAGGGCACTGTATGTGATCGGTCTGACCGTACGCTGGATCACCATACAAGCAATACGGGTGGCCTGAAGGGCTGTTCATGTGGGTCTGTAGCTTCTCATGTAGTGTAGACTGCGCAAGCAAGTAGCCGTCTTGCCTCGTTCCAACCTCTGCGCCGTACAGGTCAACAAACAGCCCGTCTGGCGTCACGACTCCTTGGAACTTGATAGCGTGCTTCCTCTTGTACCCGTCGTAGAAAAAGCGCTGGTTGCGTATAGGCCTGAGACGCAAACATCGTCGACAACATGACGCACGGGGTGGTCGATCTATTTTCTTGCATCCGACAATGTTTTCGTGAGGTTTGCCGCATATAGCGGAGTGCATTTTCTTGCGTCGTGTTGGCAAAAGCACCTCTGGAATCTTCCCTGTAGTCTAGGGGTCGATGTTACCCACCTTGCTCCTTCTTCGTAAAAGTGAACCCGTACGAGTGGTTGTTGCGGTTAGCTACCGTTCGCCAAAGTAGACATACAAATGTAGCGGGACATACATGACGCCGTTTCACCCAAGTGCATTTTTACAACTACCACCCATCAAGGGGGGCACGGCTTCCGGATCATACCTTGCAATACCGCGCACAGTTCCGTCGATGAAGGCCCAACAGTGTGTCAGGGGACAACCTTTGTTGTAAACTGCCTCCGCAAAAGTACGAAGCTTTGGTACCAGCCGTTGAACGTCCAGCGAGAGGAGGAGCCCCCACTTGAAATCCATGAAGTGTAGCATCCAGTTGAAAGTCTCACAGATACAGGACTCGCTCAGGCCGAAAACCAGATGCATGTCCTTCAAACGGCACGGGAACGCAAGTCGGTACAGCAGCACGCAAAGAGCCTCTCGTCCGCCCACCACAAAGCCACAGTCTGTCCGAATGATGGCAGGCACCATGAGCAGTTCCAGCATGAGTACGATCTGCCGCACAAAAAGATCCGAAGCAGCATGATAGTGTTTGTCAAAATACATGCAGTAGCCGTTCGTTGACAAAACACTCAACCTTGCTGTGTGCATTTCGTGCCTTCGGGTGTCGCTCTCGTCACAGCACAACTCGCGGTCTTTNACCAGCGCTACCAACGTCACTCAATAGATAGAATTACCTGGTCTCGCATAAACCTCATAAACTCCACGCAATCCTGAGGGCTGAAGAAGTTGTCTTCGTCCCTCCGTGCAGCACCGGTCGGGATATCATCGATGGCCAGGCGACCCAGAGTGTACATGACCACGACGTGGGAAGCGCACCACATGCTGGTGTATAGGCTAGTCTACAGGACTGTTGCCACTGCATCAGCAGCACTGCTCGCTTCTCGCGAGCAATTCGATCTCGGATGCGTAGGCGGGACATGGTGGGAGGCCCTGGGGAAGTCTGTGGGCGCTGGTGACGCCGGCAGCGTGCTCGCGGTGCGACCGTTGGGATGTGTCCCGCCTGTCGACCTCTCGGGTGTGTGATAAAAACACGCGGCCTGACCTGTATTCCGCCGCGCCTAGATGCGGCGAGACCTACACCAATCACCACGAGACGACTGTCCACGTCATCTATATATTTTTTTTTCCCTAAAAATGAACTTTCGTATGAACAAGAACTTTCCCAGGAACGGTTCCCAATAAAAGTGAAAGTGAACTTTTCCGGCAAATCTTCCGAAACTCTCTATTGCTTGAAGTATTTTACGCGATTGATCCCAGAAATAAATGTATCTGCTCTGTCTGCCGAATGGCAATGACGGATGGATGACCAAGGGTGAAGGGAATGCGGGAAAGTAGTCCCCTCTTCACCCTTATTAGAACGAACGAGTGCAGAGTAGTAGTAGTACTCGGATGCGTCGAAAAAACATTTCAAGAAAGAAGACTATATAATTAATTTGCGCTGTGTGATACAGCCACACAAGTATTCATACAATTCGACGGTGGCAGACGGCATAATAAACAAAGCGTGTCGACGAAGCCAACCGCGCGCGCATATGTCGAGCATTGACGACCAAAACAAGCATTGCCCGAGCACGAGGGACGAAGAGAAGCGCGCAGAAGTACGAGCACACGCGAGGAAAACGAGCATAACCAGCGTGCATAATAAGTCGCCTTTTGAGCTTACGCACGTGCCGAAAAACGTGCATTAAAATGTCAAGAAATAAGTATAACAGGTCAGGGCCTAGAGCCAGGATGCTGTGCATGCATACTAACAGACAACAACAGTTTGTTCCCTCTGGCTCTGGCGCGGGACTGTTGACCCCGGCGCGCAATACTAGGTATTAGCAAGGAGGCGTTGTCAGCATTGCCATGGACATTAGCCCAGCCGAGCTGTAGTCAGCCGCTTGCCACCGAGGTGGGCAAGGGACCAAGAAGCGTCTCTCTCCGACCATCCCCGACGGGCTTCTCCATTGGGGGGCAGCAAAGTGACGGATTTCGAGAATATACCTCCTTGCGAAGGAAAGCACCACTTTCACGATCAGGATGGAGGAGCTGTTTGCTGCAGCCACCGGCTGCTTGGATCCCTTGGTCGCGGCTTCCTACCTTGAGCGCGCCGGTTACGATTTGACCCGAGCAGTCAACCACTTCTTGGACTCCCCAAAGAATGGCACTGCGGCAAGCCGGGGCAGCAGTGACTACTGCTGTCGGAGCTCCTCTTGCGGCGATGACAACGGCGGCCCCCGCTCCTTGAAACGACAGCGTGCGGCGATGGCAGGGGAGAAGCAACAACAACAGCAGCTCTTGAAGTTTGAACACGCAAGGCGCTTGTTGTCGGACACCAGCAGTAGCAGTGTCCCCGCAAGCGTGGGAATGCCTTCCTCATCAGGCATGGCGGAGGAAATACATGCAATGCCATGCGACAGCGTACTTGGTGCTCCTGTACCAAAGACGACCACGGCTCCTTCCGCAGGGTGGGAAGCGTTTGCTGAGCGCTGCCAGAGGTGCGAACCGCAGTTTTACCCTGCTGCGAAATCTTGAACCGGCTCTTGTGCATTATACGCGAGGCCATGCAACGAACCCTTGATACACGAGCCGAATATTCTCTTCATGAAGTGTAGTCCGGCTTATTATTGTCGACTGTGTACAAGTACAGGCTAGTAGTAGAAAGGGGGACTAAATTAAAAGAGACTACGTACTACACAGCCTTATGGTGAAGCTCTGAAAGCTTCCGCGTGCTACCCTCGTGAACACAGGCAAGGAGCACGCTACGAGGATGGCGATTTCCTCCCTGTGCCCTCTAGTTTGGACGGACGGATTGGGAGGGGCTGCTCTGCTTCGTCGCGGGATTGCACAGGCGGTGCGGGCACGGAAACCACCGAGGTGACAAGCAGGGGGGGGTACGTTCTTGCTGACCATCATCCACCTGCAGGCGGTGGACCGGTCGTGCCCTCCCTGTATTGGCATATCTAAGTTTCTTGTGACGAAAAACATTTTGTGTCTCATTCAACGGAAAAAAAATCACAAGCTGAAAATTCCAGTCCCTCCTCCGGAATAATCGATTGGGGAGATGGAGTGGGTTGGGGAAGAGGAGAGAGAGGCGCACGCAGAGGGCGTGGGATGCGTCATTGGGACTACGTATAGGAGCGAGGGATTACAAAGAACAGTGGGTGAGCGACTGTGTGAACATTAGTGTCAATGCTAGCCTTGCTGAACGACAGATGGTAGTGACCTCCGGTGCACTCCCCAATGCACTACACTCGTCTCTCGGCGTTAACGGCCGGGTGTACGGTTGGCTGCTGCAAGGGTCATGCCCGTTGCAAGTGTGGCACGAGTGCTCGGGTCATCACGGTCAACAAGGCGGGCGTTAACCAGGGCAGGCTCTTCTACGGGTGCGTCACCCGCAAGTGTGACTTTTTTAGGTGAGTTTCACGGAGAAGGAGTGCGCACTGCTGTTGTGTTTTCTCGTTTTTGATTGTCTTGCGTACGTTGTTCTTACGAGCCTTGCGTACGTTGCTCTTACGAGCCTTGAAACATGTTGTCGCTCTTGACTTCACCACGTGACGGTTGGTTCCCAATTTAACCATCGGCAGTGAAGGAAATTCGGTTATTGCTTCAGCAATGGCACGTTGCCGTTGCGAAGGAGGAATAGCCTTAAATATGATGTGTCTTGCAATGCAAGTCACAGACGGTTACCCAAGAAACGACAGTAACATTGACATCAACACAAAACATTCAGGTGGGCGGATGATGCGCCGCACACGCGGCAGGCGCTTTCTCTGGTATGGAGGCGGTTTTCGCCGCCCAGATTCAAGCTGTCGAGCGCAGCGCCAAAGGGGGAGGAAGGCGGTGGGGGAAGTTTCAAGCCTGAACACGTCATGCAGGTAGATGACAAATTTGCGCAGGCTAGCTACATTGGTGTGAGCCCGTTGTTCTTGCTGTTTCCGCTTTAGCACACCTCTCACAGTATCCAATGTTTCAGTCTTCCATATGAATCAATCGGTTAGAAGCGACATTCCTTTGCCGAATAGACTCAGCAGGCTTAAGATAAACCGGGAGCACACTTGGTCCGATGCTATTCGTCCACATTACTGTGGGCAGCGGACCCATACGCAAGTATTTTTTTTGTTTGACTCGAAGAACTTCCAACAATTCATCTTTGTTTTAGAAGGGTAGAGCCGGGTAGATTCCCGTTTCCCACACCATACGTCCATGTTGCAAGATATTCTGTAAGACAGAAACCGCTGGTTCGGCGATTGTTAAGACCCGCGGGAAGAATCCCCAAAAGCCTCTTGGATGCAGCACACAAAGCAGCAGCACACATAGACAACACACGAGACAATCAGCATGTAGCACACAAGACGGCTGAAGGTCAAGGACGGCCAACGGCACGCATCGTAGGAGGCGTCGGGAGCGATTTTTAGAGCCCGTTGCCTGCTGCTAGCGGCGTAAGCGAGGAAAGCAAGTGTACCCACACGCGTGCACGGTGGCTCTGATAATTATGAGCGCTTGTCCACACCAAACAACGCTTTCATCATACGCGCGCTGCTACATGAAAACAGCAGACGTTCTGCGTCAACATCTGACTGGTGGTGTCGGGCGAGGTGTGAGCGTGTACAGTGGTGGCCTCTGTGATGGCGTAGGCTCCATCCATACCGTATCTGTTTGGGCTTTCTTGCCTCTCTCTCTCCACCCCTTCTTTTCTGCTCCTTTCGCGCTGCGCACTAAATATATTTACAAGTATTTTTTGTAGACCCCTTTCTATGGGAGGGCGGCCTTCCTTTATGATATTCGAGCTGATGGCAAATCTTTTCCGAACAACATCAACCTAGGGAGAAACGATGGCTCCATGCTACCGGGTGTCGGGCGGAGCAACGGGCTGCATGTGTGCGCAGTTAGGGTTGTACCTTTTCGCAGGTGGCCTTGTCTGCTGAACCCTGATGATCCCTGTGTCGTAAATCTACCCCATTCTCTGCGTAGTACCCTTCCCACGACCACCAAGCGCTACTGGCGGCATTTCTTTCCGTTTTTCCATTCTGTTGACGAGTTCATTGACGGGGGCTCGTTGCTCCGATACCTGGCATCTGGTCATCACCCACTTGTTGCAGTTGCCTAGCGATTCTGGTCTCATGGATTGTTCTCGCTCACATTGCGAGCGTTTTCGTTGCACGACCGGCCGCTCGGCCGTTGGTTTCTTCCCAAGGGGGCTGTGGGAGACTGCTGGTTCCTGGCTGGACTCGCGGTAGTTTCGGAACGTGCTGACCTGATTGGGCGGGTGGTGGGCAGCAATGGTCCTCTGGCTGACGAGTTGGGGTGCTTCGAGGTAAACCTCTTCAAGGACGGGCGCTGGGAAAGGTGCGGCGAGGCCGGGGATATCTGGGTTTTCACCCGGCTGTTGGAATATCTGTTCAATCTTGTCTCGTTTGAGGGGCTGACGATTGCCATATGGGTGCTCTGCTTCGTTAATTATGGCCCAAACGTAGAGACAATAAGTGTTGGGATGACGCCCCGGTTTGGGGCCCACTGACTGGTAAGCAATATGACTAAAAGCGGGGTTCGTCCGTGTATTGCACCTGAGGGATTCGTTTGTCTTTGGCAAAGGGTTTTCGATTGTTGGTTAAGGTGTACGATCACGCCTTCATGTTCGCGGACGATCGGTGATAGAGGCGAGCCATTGGGTGACGTTTTTCATATTTCTCGCTCTCCGCCCCCGCCCCCCGGTGCTTGCCATCGTCGCTTGGCAATGACCGTGGAATACAAGCCGATCACTTCATGAGCACGGCAACCGGGTTGCTACTTTCTTTTTTGCCTCTGGGTTTTTGTTTGCGGTAACCATCATGGTGGTCGAGTAGATTACATCGGGGGCGGGGTCGAGAACCCTCGAGGTAGTTACACAGTGCTTGTGACCGTCTCCGTAAGTGAAAGCACCAGAAAGTAAATCATGTCATACGCAGCTGTCATCCGTACGCAAGGAAGTAAGCACAAGATGCCGAACACCCGTAGCAGGATGCAGCGCACCCTCCATGCGACTCGCCGAGTACGTCACGGCGCTTCGCGCTTGGTGATGTGAGAGCCTGGTCCGGTGGGAACCCGGCGTACTCTGTCCCGGCTTTGTGGCATGCGAGGTCAATGTTCTAGTGACTACGGCACGCACGACCATTCGTACACCTTCCCCGCGCTGCACGTTGACTGTGGCGTTGGTTGTAGCGGACGGGCCAGATGTCAAGAACCCTGTGAAACTCCCTCGCTGCGAAGAAGTCATAGAAAGGGGGGGGGGTACTCTTATGTTTGGCATGCCTTAGCGGTTAGACCATTGACCACGCGTCCTGGAGAGAGCGGAGTGTGTTCCCACAAGACGGATCACCGATGGCCAATAGTTCCTTTCTACTTTGCCAAAGGTGGCTCCAAAATGTCTTCCCTAGTCTGTCTATCCTAACGATATCCCTTCCCGCCTTTTCAAACCACGTCCTACTCCCCAGTACAGCTACCGTCCTTTCCTCTCTATTTCATGCCTCAAACATCTCCCGGTACGTCCCATCTATTTTTCCTAGCTCAGTCATGTACACTTCCCTGTCCTTCTTGTACCACTGACATTCCGCGACTACATGAACACGGTCTTCGCANGTCCTACTCCCCAGTACAGCTACCGTCCTTTCCTCTCTATTTCATGCCTCAAACATCTC